GCCGTACCAGCTGAATATTTGTTTTCATTTGCTCAGTTACCATAACATTAATGATTACAAATCGGATAATACCAACACCAGTGCCGTATTAATAATGATCAAATGATTAACAATAATGATAATAATGTGTCGCAAATTGACTATAATAAAACCACGATAATGATCCGGAAGCACTAACACTTATCTCAAATAACATTAATTATAAAACTGTAATAACAATAATAATTCTGATAGAACTCCTACAATTACAAGTCATAATAATACTTATTATCAACACCATTCACTACTACTATTACGTTTATATCAATAAGATAACCACTAGACCTGACATTACTATCATCGTTCACCAATCAAAAACAAATCAAAACAACTCATACTCTAATTCAGTGAACACTGAATAAAACCAGTGTAATCTCAAAGAACAACTGAACTCATGCAAAGCCCAAATAACCTAACACATTCACGAAATCTACACCAACCTGATGCAGTCGCAAGCATCTGAGCACTCATCACGTTCACACTCGTATTGTAGGTGGCTTGAACGGAACGTTTTATACGTAACATCTCCCTAACCGTATCCTCATTTCCGTGCTTCACCTCGAATTCTTTCCAAATATCCCAGAATTGTGTGTGAACCTTAAACATCAAACATTTCATTAGCACAATACTTTCAATCAATCTGCGTGAACAAATTCTTCGTTTTGTGCTGAGAATTGATCAGTCATACAATCACAGCAAAATCATATTACTATACCCAACAACACTCTCATAGTACCACAATAATCAACTTATCATCTATCGTTTGAAATTCATATTCCATAAAACAATTCCTTTCAAATCAATTACTTTTACACAAATTGAATTTTAAACAATACTCGAAGAACTAACCCTCGGATCGCAAATTTCAGAACAATGCGCGTAGATTGCCCGGGCACGATCAATTTCGCCAAGTGAGCGCTCCATCTGCGCGAAACGCATACTCATCTCTCTGAAACATTTCGATCAAATCAATATCAGCTTCTCGGATCATATTCCTCCCACAACTATAAGGAATCATATTTCTATGCTAATCTCAATCCCAAAAAATCGAAATAAAATTCATTCTAGATCGATGCAAATTCACTTATAAAAATACACTTAAATTCGATTCACACAAGTCGAACCTCGATCGATCCTCGGGTAACACTTCAACAGCGTGTTGAAATATTGGTCGTGTATGCGTTAAACCATACATACTTGCTGCTTTTTTAATGTATATGTTGAACATCTAAAGCAAATCAAATTTAAGTTGAATGCCCAAATGCAATGGAAGGAACACTATTCAGAGATCAATTCATCTATGTAATGACACGAAGATGTTACATTTCAATAAGAAAATAAGAAATTTTCCATAGAGCAATGAATAAAATATGAAAATGAAAATACT